GTAGGTATACAATGATACCTATATTGTTATAGCTGTAGGTATACAATGATACCTATATTGTTATAGCTTGTTATATTGCTGTAGGTATACAATGATACCTATATTGTTATAGCTGTAGGTATACAATGATACCTATATTGTTATAGCTGTAGGTATACAATGATACCTATATTGTTATAGCTGTAGGTATACAATGATACCTATATTGTTATACAATGGTTATAGTATACAATGATACCTATATTGTTATAGCTGTAGGTATACAATGATACCTATATTGTTATAGCTGTAGGTATACAATGATACCTATATTGTTATAGCTGTAGGTATACAATGATACCTATATTGTTATAGCTGTAGGTATACAATGATACCTATATTGTTATAGCTGTAGGTATACAATGATACCTATATTGTTATAGCTGTAGGTATACAATGATACCTATATTGTTATAGCTGTTATAGCTGTAGGTATACAATGATACCTATATTGTTATAGCTGTAGGTATACAATGATACCTATATTGTTATAGCTGTAGGTATACAATGATACCTATATTGTTATAGCTGTAGGTATACAATGATACCTATATTGTTATAGCTGTAGGTATACAATGATACCTATATTGTTATAGCTGTAGGTATACAATGATACCTGTTATAGCTGTAGGTATACAATGATACCTATATTGTTATAGCTGTAGGTATACAATGATACCTATATTGTTATAGTTATAGCTGTAGGTATACAATGATACCTATATTGTTATAGCTGTAGGTAGGTATACAATGATACCTATATTGTTATAGCTGTAGGTATACAATGATACCTATATTGTTATAGCTGTAGGTATACAATGATACCTATATTGTTATAGCTGTAGGTATACAATGATACCTATATTGTTATAGCTGTAGGTATACAATGATACCTATATTGTTATAGCTGTAGGTATACAATGATACCTATATTGTTATTGTTATATTGTTATAGCTGTAGGTATACAATGATACCTATATTGTTATAGCTGTAGGTATACAATGATACCTATATTGTTATAGCTGTAGGTATTATAGCAATACAATGATACCTATATTGTTATAGCTGTAGGTATACAATGATACCTATATTGTTATAGCTGTAGGTATACAAAGATATCTATATTGTTATAGCTGTAGGTATACAATGATACCTGTATTGTTATAGCTGTAGGTATACAATGATACCTATATTGTTATAGCTGTAGGTATACAATGATACCTATATTGTTATAGCTGTAGGTATACAATGATACCTATATTGTTATAGCTGTAGGTATACAATGATACCTATATTGTTATAGCTGTAGGTATACAATAATACCTATATTGTTATAGCTGTAGGTATACAATGATACCTGTATTGTTATAGCTGTAGGTATACAATGATACCTATATTATTGTTATAGCTGTAGGTATACAATGATACCTATATTGTTATAGCTGTAGGTATACAATGATACCTATATTGTTATAGCTGTAGGTATACAATGATACCTATATTGTTATAGCTGTAGGTATACAATGATACCTATATTGTTATAGCTGTAGGTATACAATGATACCTATATTGTTATAGCTGTAGGTATACAATGATACCTATATTGTTATAGCTGTAGGTATGTTATATTGTTATAGCTGTAGGTATACAATGATACCTATATTGTATTGTTATAGCTGTAGGTATACAATGATACCTATATTGTTATAGCTGTAGGTATACAATGATACCTATATTGTTATAGCTGTAGGTATACAATGATACCTATATTGTTATAGCTGTAGGTATACAATGATACCTATATTGTTATAGCTGTAGGTATACAATGTATACAATGATACCTATATTGTTGTAGTATTGTTATAGCTGTAGGTATACAATGATACCTATATTGTTATAGCTGTAGGTATACAATGATACCTATGTTGTTGTAGGTATACAATGATACCTATATTGTTATAGCTGTAAGTATACAATGATACCTATATTGTTATAGCTGTAGGTATACAATGATACCTATATTGTTATAGCTGTAGGTATACAATGATACCTGTATTGTTATAGCTGTAGGTATACAATGATACCTATATTGTTATAGCTGTAGGTATACAATGATACATATATTGTTATAGCTGTAGGTATACAATGATACCTGTATTGTTATAGCTGTAGGTATACAATGATACCTGTATTGTTATAGCTGTAGGTATACAATGATACCTATATTGTTATAGCTGTAGGTATACAATGATACCTATATTGTTATAGCTGTAGGTATACAATGATACCTATATTGTTATAGCTGTAGGTATACAATGATACCTGTATTGTTATAGCTGTAGGTATACAATGATACCTATATTGTTATAGCTGTAGGTATACAATGATACCTGTATTGTTATAGCTGTAGGTATACAATGATACCTATATTGTTATAGCTGTAGGTATACAATGATACCTATATTGTTATAGCTGTAGGTATACAATGATACCTATATTGTTATAGCTGTAGGTATACAATGATACCTATATTGTTATAGCTGTAGGTATACAATGATACCTATATTGTTATAGCTGTAGGTATACAATGATACCTATATTGTTATAGCTGTAGGTATACAATAATACCTATATTGTTATAGCTGTAGGTATACAATGATACCTGTATTGTTATAGCTGTAGGTATACAATGATACCTGTATTGTTATAGCTGTAGGTATACAATGATACCTGTATTGTTATAGCTGTAGGTATACAATGATACCTATATTGTTATAGCTGATACCTATTGTTATAGTATACAATGATACCTATATTGTTATAGCTGTAGGTATACAATGATACCTATATTGTTATAGCTGTAGGTATACAATGATACCTATATTGTTATAGCTGTAGGTATACAATGATACCTATATTGTTATAGCTGTAGGTATACAATGATACCTATATTGTTGTAGGTATACAATGATACCTATATTGTTATAGCTGTAGGTATACAATGATACCTGTATTGTTATAGCTGTAGGTATACAATGATACCTATATTGTTATAGCTGTAGGTATACAATGATACCTGTATTGTTATAGCTGTAGGTATACAATGATACCTATATTGTTATAGCTGTAGGTATACAATGATACCTATATAGCTGTAGGTATACAATGATACCTATATTGTTATAGCTGTAGGTATACAATGATACCTATATTGTTATAGCTGTAGGTATACAATGATACCTATATTGTTATAGCTGTAGGTATACAATGATACCTATATTGTTATAGCTGTAGGTATACAATGATACCTATATTGTTATAGCTGTAGGTATACAATGATACCTATATTGTTATAGCTGTAGGTATACAATGATACCTATATTGTTATAGCTGTAGGTATACAATGATACCTATATTGTTATAGCTGTAGGTATACAATGATACCTATATTGTTATAGCTGTAGGTATACAATGATACCTGTATTGTTATAGCTGTAGGTATACAATGATACCTATATTGTTATAGCTGTAGGTATACAATGATACCTATATTGTTGTAGGTATACAATGATACCTATATTGTTATAGCTGTAGGTATACAATGATACCTATATTGTTATAGCTGTAGGTATACAATGATACCTGTATTGTTATAGCTGTAGGTATACAATGATACCTATATTGTTATAGCTGTTATACTGTATACAATGATACCTATATTGTTATAGCTGTAGGTATACAATGATACCTATATTGTTATAGCTATACAATGATACCTATATTGTTATAGCTGTAGGTATACAATGATACCTATATTGTTATAGCTGTAGGTATACAATGATACCTATATTGTTATAGCTGTAGGTATACAATGATACCTATATTGTTATAGCTGTAGGTATACAATGATACCTATATTGTTATAGCTGTAGGTATACAATGATACCTATATTGTTATAGCTGTAGGTATACAATGATACCTATATTGTTATAGCTGTAGGTATACAATGATACCTATATTGTTATAGCTGTAGGTATACAATGATACCTATATTGTTATAGCTGTAGGTATACAATGATACCTATATTGTTATAGCTGTAGGTATACAATGATACCTATATTGTTATAGCTGTAGGTATACAATGATACCTATATTGTTATAGCTGTAGGTATACAATGATACCTATATTGTTATAGCTGTAGGTATACAATGATACCTATATTGTTATAGCTGTAGGTATACAATGATACCTATATTGTTATAGCTGTAGGTATACAATGATACCTATATTGTTATAGCTGTAGGTATACAATGATACCTATATTGTTATAGCTGTAGGTATACAATGATACCTATATTGTTATAGCTGTAGGTATACAATGATACCTATATTGTTATAGCTGTAGGTATACAATGATACCTATATTGTTATAGCTGTAGGTATACAATGATACCTATATTGTTATAGCTGTAGGTATACAATGATACCTATATTGTTATAGCTGTAGGTATACAATGATACCTATATTGTTATAGCTGTAGGTATACAATGATACCTATATTGTTATAGCTGTAGGTATACAATGATACCTATATTGTTATAGCTGTAGGTATACAATGATACCTATATTGTTATAGCTGTAGGTATACAATGATACCTATATTGTTATAGCTGTAGGTATACAATGATACCTGTATTGTTATAGCTGTAGGTATACAATGATACCTGTATTGTTATAGCTGTAGGTATACAATGATACCTATATTGTTGTAGCTATAGGTATACAATGATACCTATATTGTTATAGCTGTAGGTATACAATGATACCTATATTGTTATAGCTGTAGGTATACAATGATACCTATATTGTTGTAGGTATAGGTATACAATGATACCTATATTGTTATAGCTATAAGTATACAATGGAACATGTTTAATCATGTAATATATTTTCCAGTTTGCGGACCAGTGAGACCAACTACCTGAATGAGTCGTTCAGCTTTTACTCGGCCATCCGTATGCGTGTCTACTACTCTAAGGCTAACAAGGAGGAGAGGTATGGGTGGGTTTGTAGGTTTTGTCACAATGTTTCACTTCTGTATCTTGTCTCTGCTGTATCTCATCTGTCCTGTATTATCTGTCCTGTGTCACATCTGTCCTGTATATTATCTGTCCGGTATCTCATCTATCCTGTGTTACATCTGTCTTGTATCTTGTCTGTCCTGCATCCCATCTCAGGGTTTACATCTGTCTCTTATTTATAGATCAATATTTCTCTGACCTTTGAACCTAATTTCTTCAACAATTTGCAGGCTGTGTTGCAATGTTTTTTTTATGTGTGACAGCTGTTTTGGTAATAACATGATCAAAGCTCAACTGATGTGGATCTAGATCCATTGACAGAAAACATGGCCAGAATGTGTATGTCTGCACAATGAAATTTATAGGCAAAGTATAAGTGCTGTGTTTTGGATTCATTCTGTCATTTTGCCATAATTTTTTTTCACTCCTCTCCCGGAATTATGCCCTGGAATTATCAAGAACTTCAGATTCATTAAATATTTAAAACATTTTCTTTTATTTGGGTTTTAGCTGGATGACACCTCTTAATTGAAATTTGAAATGTAGTTGTATTAAAAGATGCTTGTCAAGTTTTCTTTTGGTCATCATATTGTTTTGAGAGGCCCAATGACGTTCTTGGATGCTATAAGATCTTTCTGGTTTGCAGGCCTGACCTGATGGTGAAGAAACTGAGGTACTACGCACGTTTCATTGTAGTCTGTCTCCTGCTGAAGAAGATGAAGCTTGTACGAGATCTTGTTCGGGTATGGAATTAAACTTGTCTATAGATATACTTATTTTAACAGACATTCTTGGTCCATACAGATTTGAAACTTTGTTGTTTAAAGGTCAAGGTCATAGATATACAGCATCCAGGTACAAAAATGGAATATCAAAAATTAAATTGAGTCATGTTCTTTAACATTGATTTTATGTGTTAACTAGTCATTTTTTTCTCATTGAGAAATATTCTTTTTCTTAGTGTGATATGAAGCTGGACATGTTTGATGCTCATTAATTTACCTGTTGCCTCTGTTGTTGTATACCTTGTTCATAATTGAGAATGTGACATTACTTACTTGGATTGACCAAGGTTTACATGGCGGGTGTTGTTGATGAAGCAGAAGATGCTTTCTCTTCCGGAACACGTGGTATTCTCCGTGTACTTTTTCAGGAGTTTCCGTGTAAATATTTCTATATTTTGCACTAGTTTTATGGAATTTGAGTTGAATTATGTTGCCATGTTGGTATTTTCTTGATGTCTTCTGGTAATACTGATATTTTGATGGTATCTTGTTTTACAGGAATTGTCTAAACAAATAGATGACTACACATCCACATATGAACCCGAGGACAAAGGCGAGTGGAGACAGGTGTTAGACGAGATCAAGGCCTTTATAGAGGTGAGAACAGGGTTATTTGGTGAAAATACAGGAATGTGTTGTATTTACAAGCAGATAACATCATCAGTGTGGTTCTTGGTTATGATATTGGATTTTGTTTATTACAGGCTGACAACATCATCAGTGTGGTTGATATAGACTCCTCCTCCATCGTACTGTCACACAGACTCACCCCGATGAACAACACACCTCTTGATCCAAAGGGTACACCTGTATACCTGTCACTTCAGGAGATACTGATTGTAGGAAACTCATCTGAGCAGGTAAATACTGATTGTAGGAGACTTGTCAGAGCAGGTATATACAGACTGTAGGAGACTCGTCAGAGCAGGTAAATACTGATTGTAGGAGACTCGTCAGAGCAGGTAAATACTGATTGTAGGAAACTTGTCAGAGCAGGTAAATACTGACTATAGGAGACTCGTCAGAGCAGGTAAATACTGATTGTAGGAGACTCGTCAGAGCAGGTAAATACTGACTATAGGAGATTCGTCAGAGCAGGTAAATACTGTTTGTAGGAGACTCGTCAGAGCAGGTAAATACTGATTGTAGGAGACTCGTCAGAGCAGGTAAATACTGATTGTAGGAGACTCGTCAGAGCAGGTAAATACTGTTTGTAGGAGACTTGTCAGAGCAGGTAAATACTGATTGTAGGAAACTCGTCAGAGCAGGTAAAACTGATTGTAGGAAACTCGTTACAGCAGGTAAATACTGATTGTAGGAAACTTGTCAGTGCAGGTAAATACTAACTATAGGAGACTCGTCAGAGTAAGTAAATACCGTTTGTAGGAAACTCGTCAGTACAGATAAATACTGATTGCAGGAAACTTGTAAGAGGGAAAATTTTTACTTAACACAAAAATTACAAAACAAATGCTCGTTTAACTACCATCACTTGTGTACAGAAAGTGTGAGAATTGTGTGAATGGATGTTATGTAACATCTGTTATCTGTACATTACAGGAAACTACAATTGAGCCATTTTTGTTTGCTACAGGTGAAGTTCAGTGAGTTAACATTGGACATGTTCCGCATGCTACAGACCCTTGAGCGAGAACCACAAGAGGATTTGTCCAATCAAATCTACGACGCTTCCCCAGCACCAGGCAAACCGCCTTTTGTACGTCCACACACCTATGTAAATATGTCTTCTCCTGTTAATTCACATGTAGATAGTTGTTATTTATCACAGATTTATTTATCCATTCACAGATAAAAGTCAATACCAGTGTAATTTGTAGATGTTCAATACAATCACTTATGACACAAGAACATTGGGTCTTTATGCCGTATAAACCATAGATAAAACAGTTATAGTACAGTGTAACCCAATGTTTGTTCTTAACCGGAGTTTTACTTTGAAGGTATTTTACCAGTAAGCCTAGTCTCTCCAGAGATAATTTTGAATACGGTTGTAGAACTTCACAACATCAGTACACTGACGTGCTTATATCATTTATTAATGGATAAAAGAAGATCCCTCTCTCCCTAGGTACTGAAGATTTTTTATGAGATTCATCATGGTACCCCACATTGTACTTTAACATGTACTTGTGAAGGGATGAGAGAAAATGTAATCACTTGTTTTAAGTGTTCGTTTAAACTTAAGGCGAAGGAAATAAATCTTAATATGTAAAGCAGTTAGATTTGATATACATGACATTAATACTTAATATGGTGACAGGAACTATCGAAGACAGAATCTTTGATATTTAGTTAGATATGATACATGATGATGTTATTGTTTTCAGGAGAATGGTGACAGGAACAATAGACGAGAGAACCCCCACAAGTACCTGTTGTACAAACCCACGTTTAGCCAGCTCAACACATTTCTTGCCTCAGGATTCAAGGAGCTCCCACCTAATGGTGCCATGCTGTTGTACATATCAGCTGATGGTTGTCTTGGCAATGCCAAACGTAATGACGATGGTATGTTGTCACATATATATATGTATATGTTTGTGATGGCATCAATATTTCATACTGTATATATCTATATTCAATACAAAAGTGTTGGTTTGTAGATAGAGATTTGTAAATGTAAATATAGTGGTGTTGTATTTAGAGTTAAATATGTGTTCATCTCTAGAAATGCCATTGCTTGTAGACAAAGTTTTGTGTTCATCTCTAGAAATGCCATTGCTTGTAGTCAAAGTTTTGTGTTCATCTTCAGAAATGCCATTGTTTGTAGAAATGCCATTGCTTGTAGTCAAAGTTTTGTGTTCATCTTCAGAAATGCCATTGTTTGTAGACAAAGTTTTGTGTTCATCTTCAGAAATGCCATTGTTTGTAGACAAAGTTTTGTGTTCATCTTCAGAAATGCCATTGTTTGTAGACAAAGTTTTGTGTTCATCTTCAGAAATGCCATTGTTTGTAGACAAAGTTTTGTGTTCATCTTCAGAAATGCCATTGTTTGTAGACAAAGTTTTGTGTTCATCCTAAAAATGCCATTGTTTGTAGACAAAGTTTTGTAGACAAAGTTTTGTGTTCATCCTAAAAATGCCATTGTTTGTAGACAAAGTTTTGTGTTCATCTTCAGAAATGCCATTGTTTGTAGACAAAGTTTTGTGTTCATCCTAAAAATGCCATTGTTTGTAGACAAAGTTTTGTGTTCATCTTCAGAAATGCCATTGTTTGTAGACAAAGTTTTGTGTTCATCCTAAAAATGCCATTGTTTGTAGACAAAGTTTTGTGTTCATCTTCAGAAATGCCATTGTTTGTAGACAAAGTTTTGTGTTCATCTTCAGAAATGCCATTGTTTGTAGACAAAGCTTTGTGTTCATCTTCAGAAATGCCATTGTTTGTAGACAAAGTTTTGTGTTCATCTTCAGAAATGCCATTGTTTGTAGACAAAGTTTTGTGTTCATCTTCAGAAATGCCATTGTTTGTAGACAAAGTTTTGTGTTCATCTTCAGAAATGCCATTGTTTGTAGACAAAGCTTTGTGTTCATCTTCAGAAATGCCATTGTTTGTAGACAAAGTTTTGTGTTCATCTTCAGAAATGCCATTGTTTGTAGACAAAGTTTTGTGTTCATCTTCAGAAATGCCATTGTTTGTAGACAAAGTTTTGTGTTCATCTTCAGAAATGCCATTGTTTGTAGACAAAGTTTTGTGTTCATCTTCAGAAATGCCATTGTTTGTAGACAAAGTATTGTGTTCATCTTCAGAAATGCCATTGTTTGTAGACAAAGTTTTGTGTTCATCTTCAGAAATGCCATTGTTTGTAGACAAAGTTTTGTGTTCATCTTCAGAAATGCCATTGTTTGTATGTTCATCTTCAGAAATGCCATTGAGACAAAGTTTTGTGTTCATCTTCAGAAATGCCATTGTTTGTAGACAAAGTTTTGTGTTCATATACAGCTTTATAGTGTCCAGGAATAGAGATGTAGTCATATACAGCTTTATAGTGTCCAGGAATAGAGATGTGTTTTATAGTCATATACAGCTTTATAGTGTCCAGGAGTATACAGCTTTATAATGTCCAGGAATAGAGATGTGTTTTATAGTCATATACAGCTTTATAGTGTCCAGGAATAGAGATGCATTGGTGAGTCATATACAGCTTTATAGTGTCCAGGAATAGAGATGTATTGGTGAGTCATATACAGCTTTATAGTGTCCAGGAATAGAGATGTATTGGTGAGTCATATACAGCTTTATAGTGTCCAGGAATAGAGATGTATTTATACAGCTTTATAGTCATATACAGCTTTATAGTGTCCAGGAATAGAGATGTGTTTTATAGTCATATACAGCTTTATAGTGTCCAGGAGTAGAGATGTGTTTTGTAGGCATATACAGCTTTATAATGTCCAGGAATAGAGATGTGTTTTATAGTCATATACAGCTTTATAGTGTCCAGGAATAGAGATGTATTGGTGAGTCATATACAGCTTTATAGTGTCCAGGAGTAGAGATGTGTTTTGTAGTCATATACAGCTTTATAGTGTCCAGGAATAGAGATGTATTGGTGAGTCATATACAGCTTTATTGTGTCCAGGAATAGAGATGTATTGGTGAGTCATATACAGCTTTATAGTGTGCAGGAATAGAGATGTATTGGTGAGTCATATACAGCTTTATAGTGTCCAGGAATAGAGATGTGTTTCGTAGGCATATACAGCTTTATAGTGTCCAGGAATAGAGATGTATTGGTGAGTCATATACAGCTTTATAGTGTCCAGGAATAGAGATGTATTGGTGAGTCATATACAGCTTTATAGTGTCCAGGAATAGAGATGTGTTTTGTAGTCATATACAGCTTTATAGTGTCCAGGAATAGAGATGTGTTTTGTAGTCCAACATCAACAACTAGAGATGTATTATGTTACTTCTATCATAAACCAATGTTTCTGTTATAACTTGTTTTATCTGTTATAGTCTACACCCAGGAGATGTGTACCCCTACTGTCGTAAACCAATGTTTCTCATCATAGATAGTGATAACAGCTCGGCATTCCAGGTAAGTCTTGTCACCACCATATGATGACTAGCTGTAGTATTTAAATTTTATGATGATATTTTATCATCACAGGAGAAGTATGTGTAAATCAAGGACAATAATATCTAAGGTTAGGAGAGTTTTATATCTTGATCACAGAACTTTGTACATAGGATATACCATTGTGCTTGATTTAGAGGTCAAATATGGAATATATTTCATATTAAAAGCGTAAGTTTATTCTTTTTTTATATCATATGGTAAACCCTGCGTAATATAATTATTTTGTGTGACTTTTTTAATACAAACTTCTATTCTAGTTATATAATCATGTTTACAAAACAAAAAGTTAAAGTTGTGAAAAATTGTTGAAAAATTGTCAAAAGAAAAACCTAATGAGATATTCTTTCTGTTCCAGAATTTCCCCAATTTGTTTGGGCAGCCTGTGGTATGTCTGCTGTCTCAGGAACAGGTCCCAACTACAATGCAGGGTAGGTCCTACAGATGATTTTAAAAGGAATTTCAGTGGTAGTCTTTGGTATATATCACACACATCTACAGATGTTCTTATAGAAAAATTTCAGTGGTAGTTTGTGGTATATATCTCACACATCTACAGATGTTCTTATAGAGAAATTTCAGTGGTAGTCTGTGGTATATATCACACACATCTACAGACGTTCTTATAGAGAAATTTCAGTGGTAGTTTGTGGTATATATCGCACACATCTACAGATGTTCTTATAGAGAAATTTCAGTGGTAGTCTGTGGTATATATCACACACATCTACAGATGTTCTTATAGAGAAATTTCAGTGGTAGTCTGTGGTATTTATCTCACACATCTACAGATGTTCTTATAGAGGAATTTCAGTGGTAATCTGTGGTATATATCTCACACATCTACAGATGTTCTTATAGAGAAATTTCAGTGGTAGTCTGTGGTATATATCTCACACATCTACATATATTCTGATAGAGGAATTTCAGTGGTAGTCTGAGGTATATATCTCACACATCTACAGATATTCTTATAGAGAAATTTCAGTGGTAGTCTGTGGTATATATCTCACACATCTACAGATATTCTGGTAGAGGAATTTCAGTGGTAGTCTGTGGTATATATCTCACACATCTACAGATATTCTTATAGAGGAATTTCAGTGGTAGTAACTCAGACATATAACAATAAAATCTCACAGATATGTGACATCAGTAATCTCAGCTACAACTTCATGCAATCTCTTGGACAAAATTCATCACATATTGTCACAAACACCTTTATCACACAACTTACAGATACTTCCATCTATATCAAATGATCGTGTAATGTTTCTGATTCCTTTCTGGAGATTTCATTAGAATATCTTATAGACAACTTCAGGATATAATATCTTTGACAACGTCTTTAGAGATGCTTACAAATTGTGTCAGATATTGTCACTGACAGGCGAAAATGCAGCTAAGACTGTGTTCATGCAGGTGTTGTCGCCAACAAATCTTATCAAGATCAATTCCGGTATAAACCTGATCACAATATTTTTTTATTGCAGACCATCAGAAGGGCAACCTGTTCACACTGTTTCTGCACTCACCACTGATGGCCTTCTGTTACGTGTGTAATATAAATGACATTCCCATCACCAAGTGGGAGAAGTGTCAAGGTCAAATCGACAAGTTCATGTCTGAAGCATCAAAACTCTTTCTTAGATCCAGGTCACTCGGTAAGTGAAGCTTTAATGTGACTGTGATTATGTATTTTGTCATATCTCTGAGACTTGGTCTTTGAAAGTGGTAAATGTTTTTATGATATCTGATTTAATATGGGCTTATACCAAAACATGACGGCATCCTATGAAGTATAGACACTTTTGTGATGAAGTAAGGTAATAGTTTAATGGAGTTTTTGTCCAACTGAGAACAGTTTGACCTTATGACAAGATGTATTGTTGTTCTGTAGAAATTGAGTCGGAGGTTTAACGCTATGATTTGTATTTCAGATCACTCGTACCTACAGTTTATAGGAGATGACTTCCTGCGATTGTTAATGTTCCGGTTTGTGTTCTGTTATATAGTCCTCATACTTCACAGAGGATTCAAGGTGAATATTTACAACATTATACTAATGTTATATAGTCCTCATACTTCACAGAGGGTTCAAGGTGAATATTTACAACAATATCCTAACGTTATATAGTCCTCATACTTCACAGAGGATTCAAGGTGAATATTTACAACATTATCCTAATGTTATATTGTCCTCTTACTCCATCATGGATTAAGTGAGTGTATTTATAACATCATAATCAATTTTATGGTAGAGGAATTTTGAGGTAGAGGAATTTTGATGTAGAGGAATTTTGAGGTAGGTCTTTTCATTTTAACTTAACATTTTGAATGTACATTTTTCAGATACATGTATTCTAAACTGATCCCCAATGAAAGTCACTTCCTCATTTTGAATACATGTATACAGTTTTATTCTTGTATTTTTATAATTAGATTTCCACATACAAAACTAGGCCAACACATCCCAGTCTGCCTGTTTCCCCTACCTCTTGTTTTTATTTCTGAAGTCTCAATTAAAAACCTGGGATACCCTCAAAATGGCACTCTCTGCCTTTTGCTTACAAGTGTCTACCCCCTGGATACCAATACCTTGTTACTGTCAACCTCTCTGGATACACACAATGGCTCTTCCAACACCCTGGATACCAGTGTCTACCCCCTGGATACCCTTACCCTGTTACTCCCTATCCCTCTGTACACACTGGCACCCCCAACACTCTTGATACCAGTGTCTACCCCTTGGATACCCTTACTCTGTTACTCTCTACCCCTCTGGATACTCTCACATTGGCACTCCCAACACACTGGATGCCAGTGTCTACCCCTCTGTATGCCCTCACATTGGCACTCCCCACACACTGGATTCAAGTGGATACCCAGACTGTGGCACTCTCCACCCCGTGGATCCTCACACTTTGGCACTCTCCATTCCTAGAGCACCACACTGGCACTCTCCCTCTTCCATGACACCAGCACTCTGGTATTCTCCACCCCAGGTTAACCACACCGTATCACTCTTCACACCAGTGTACCCACACGCTGGGATTCTCCACACAGAGTACCCACACCCCAGCACTCTCCTCCTACACACCCCAGCACTCTCCTCCTACACACCCCAGCACTCTCCTCCTACCACCCACAATTTGACTGAGGATTTGATTCGGAGTTTGCTGTAGATTGACAATTTTTCTATATGACAAACATTTTCCCTGATATTACACTTATACACTAACCTACATCCTACTTTGTTGTTTACCAGGGTCCTAGCTACTTCCCGATGTCTCACCCACCCCTGCCTACAGAGGAGATTCTAGAACATCCTAATCTGTACAAGGTCGTTCTGGACTTAGCTACCATCCTCAACTCACGCATGCAGTTTGCAGAACCAGGCGAGGGAGATATACATGCGACGTAGGCAACACAGCTCCTAGGGGAACTAATTTTATTATTTTCAATTCATTATACAAATTTGAATGCTCACCTGATTATTCTGTGTAAATATCTACTATAGGGGACAGCGAGGATACTAGAGACATTCCTAGCCATGAAATGGTTATTCAGTCATTCCCGAGTGTTCCATATTGCCCATTAGCCTAATATCTGCTTAACAGCATACCGGAGTGTCAACCAACATCTCTGATTTAAACTGTGTTTACCAGAGTTAAATGGACTAGTACACAACTGGGTTATTTTATCAAATTAGATCAACATGCTGGATAAATCCCATAACCCATCCTTACTGGACTTGTGCTGCCAGACAAGTTTACTAACTTTGTGTTTCAGTTGAAGACCAAAGGACTATGTTGTGTGTGGTTTGGCTGTATGTTAACTATCCACACACAAACTGATGATGACATCATTATTACACCAACATTTTATGATGACATCATCAGAAAATGTATATACTACTTTCCCTTCTCAATCATTTATTTTATGAAAATACAATTATTAATATGTATCTTCTTTCCACAAATTTGCCATTGACTTACATGTTCATTCAATAGTCAGTTTAATTAATAAGATGTTTCAACTTGGCATTTTTATTCTGCTATTTCAATATTTGATATGATATTTTTAACTGGTACACAAACAGTTTATAAGGTTGCCTGCTGTTTAATGTACAATTCCCCCAAATACCACTCCACATTCAATCCACTTACTGCTATGCTACCACCACATCAGATTCCATAAACTACATTGTACCATTCCACCATTCATTGTACCAACTAAAACACTAATGTCTACTAGCACCATTCTTCCAACTATCACTATGGCAACAACAATGTCACAAACTAGCATTCCAATAATTTCTCCAGCTACTGTTTGATCAACTGTCACTACCAACTACCTCTCCACAAACTACTGAATATGAATGAGTATATGTTTCATTCTATTTGACAACAATTGCAAAACAAACTATTTCAACATTTATTGGTAAGTGTTGTTTGCCTGGATGTTTGCATGTCTTACTGTTAGAGTAAACTGGAGTACCCAGGAAATCACCCTCAGACGTCTGAGGAAACGATGAGTTTGTTACCACTGCTCCACCAGATCGCGCACAAACTACACCACCTACAACCACTCAGCTACCATTCCACTATTTATTCAACAAACTGCCACTCCTCAAATTACACCACCAGCTATCACTCCACAGATTACACCACCAACTACCACTCCTCAAATTACACCACCAACTACCATTCCACAGATTACACCACCAGCTTCTACTTCACAGATTACACCACCAACTACCACTCCACAGATTACACCACCATCTACCAGCAGCTACCACTCCACAGATTACACCACTAGCTACCACTCCACAGATTACACCACCAACTACTATTCCACAGATTACACCACCAGCTTCTACTTCACAGATTACACCACCAGCTACCACTCCACAGATTACACCACCAACTACCACTCCACAGATTACACCACCATCTACCACTCCACAGATTACACCACCAACTACCACTCCACAGATTACACCACCATCTACCACTCCACAGATTACACCACCAGCTACCACTCCACAGATTACGCCACCAGCTACCACTCCACAGATTACACCACTAGCTACCACTCCACAGATTACACCACCAACTACTATTCCACAGATTACACCACCAGCTTCTACTTCACAGATTACACCACCAACTACCACTCCACAGATTACACCACCAACTACCACTCTACAGATTACACCACTAGCTACCACTCCACAGATTACACCACCAGCTCCCACTCCACAGATTACACCACCATCTACCACTCCACAGATTACACCACCATCTACCACTCCACAGATTACACCACCAGCTTCCACTCCACAGATTACACCACCAGCTCCCACTCCACAGATTACACCAGTCCAACAGTCACACAGCAAATTGAATACAATAGTTAACACTTCAGCACCACTGGGAAACCACAACCATGTGTCATACTTTACAGATAAACAATAGATTAGTTACTGACTCCAATGTACCTACCTTAATACATGTGTGAGCCAGAAGGAAATCCTGTTGATAATAACTGTATGTGATACTTCTAACTGTGTTTGCTGTATTGTTTACTCTTTGCGACATTCTTGTTTTGGTCACATGTTTGGGTTGTCGTACTGAATGACGTCTGTGTGATATCGTCCAGATGATACGACGTCCGTGTGTAGTGTTTTGCTAACGATGCGACGTCCGTGCACAAAATGAAGCCAGGCGATCTGGTACCTACAGCTTACCCTCACACATTTGATCGTTTAATAATTACTCCATTATTTTTGTGGGGTAATCACAGCCTCAGAATATTTGAGACATATTTATCTGTGTAATTGATGAGTGATAAGCTTTCAGTATTGGTGTGTTTGTAGAGCACTTTCCTTGCCTACGTGTTACAACAGCTTGTTATATTTTATCACACCTGGCTGATTTTATCACAGCTAGTTAAGTGAATATCCTGTTTTTGTGATTTTCATATTCATTAGAGTACTTTAGTTTATGAATGTAGGTAGATAGAAGGACGTATTGTCAGAGTCATTGACTCATTTCCATTAGTCCTTATTAAGGTACTCCAACCGAAGGGATGATGGAGATGTAGTACGCTGTGTTACACAGGATTTTACATAGATACAAGTCTTTGTCATAGAATAAACCATTTCATGTTACAATATCAAAAAAAATTCTCTGTTAGGCCTCATTAATTTCAAAGAAGGAATTAGAGTCAATGAAGAGTGTATGTTTTTGTATGTTTATTGTATGATATTGTACATTGTATATTACTGGAGGTGATAAATAGACATGTACATTGTATAATATTGAAAGTGATAAATTGTAAAATATTGTACATGCACATTGTATGATACTAGAGGTTGGTAATTATACAATATTGTACATTGTATGATACTAGAGGTTGGTAATTATACAATATTGTACATTGTATGATACTAGAGGTTGGTAATTATACAATATTGTACATTGTCTGATACTGGAGGGGATAAATTGTACAATATTGTACATTGTATGATACTGGAGGGGATAAATTGTACAATATTGTACATTGTATGATACTAGAGGTTGGTAATTATACAATATTGTACATTGTCTGATACTAGAGGTTGGTAATTATACAATATTGTACATTGTATGATACTAGAGGTTGGTAATTATACAATATTGTACATTGTCTGATACTGGAGGGGATAAATTATACAATATTGTACATTGTATGATACTAGAGGTTGGTAATTATACAATATTGTACATTGTCTGATACTGGAGGGGATAAATTGTACAATATTGTACATTGTATGATACTAGAGGTTGGTAATTATACAATATTGTACATTGTATGATACTAGAGGTTGGTAATTATACAATATTGTACATTGTATGTTACTGGAGGGGATAAATTGTACAATATTGAAATTCGGCTGTTATACATTATTGTACGTTGTATGGTAATGGAGATTAGTAATTATACATTATTGTACATTATACTTTACATTATCAGTCTGTGGAAGAAAAACTGTATAGTTTACACTGTCAGTCTGTGGATGAAAGACTGTAGAGTTAACACTGTCAGTTTGTGGATGAAAGACTGTAGAGTTAACACTGTCAGTCTGTGGATGAAAGACTGTAGAGTTAACACTGTCAGTCTGTGGATGAAAGACTGTAGAGTTAACACTGTCAGTCTGTGGATGAAAGACTGTAGAGTTAACACTGTCAGTCTGTGAATGAATGACTGTAGAGTTAACATGTTCAGTCTGTGGATGAAAGACTGTAGAGTTAACACTGTCAGTCTGTGGATGAAAGACTGTTGAGTTAACACTGTCAGTCTGTGAATGAATGACTGTAGAGTTAACATGTTCAGTCTGTGGATGAAAGAACTGTAGAGTTAACACTGTCAGTCTGTGGATGAAAGACTGTAGAGTTAACACTGTCAGTTTGTGGATGAAAGACTGTAGAGTTAACATGTTCAGTCTGTGGATGAAAGAACTGTAGAGTTAACACTGTTAGTCTGTGAATGAAAGACTGTAGAGTTAACACTGTCAGTCTGTGGATGAAAGACTGTTGAGTTAACACTGTCAGTCTGTGAATGAATGACTGTAGAGTTAACATGTTCAGTCTGTGGATGAAAGACTGTAGAGTTAACACTGTCACTTTGTGGATGAAAGACTGTAGTGTTTACACTGTCAGTCTGTGGATGAAAGACTGTAGAGTTAACACTGTCAGTCTGTGGATGAAAGACTGTAGAGTTAGCATGTTCAGTCTGTGGATGAAAGACTGTAGTGTTTACACTGTCAGTCTGTGGATGAAAGACTGTAGAGTTAACACTGTCAGTCTGTGGATGAAAGACTGTAGAGTTAACACTGTCAGTCTGTGAATGAATGACTGTAGAGTTAACATGTTCAGTCTGTGGATGAAAGACTGTAGTGTTTACACTGTCAGTCTGTGGATGAAAGACTGTAGAGTTAACACTGTCAGTCTGTGGATGAAAGACTGTAGAGTTAACATGTTCAGTCTGTGGATGAAAGACTGTAGAGTTAACACTGTCAGTCTGTGGATGAAAGACTGTAGAGTTAACATGTTCAGTCTGTGGATGAAAGACTGTAGAGTTAACACTGTCAGTCTGTGGATGAAAGACTGTAGAGTTAACACTGTCAGTCTGTGGATGAAAGACTGTAGAGTTAACATGTTCAGTTGTACAGAGTTAACACTGTCAGGCTGTGAAAGACTGTAGAGTTAACACTGTCAGTCTGTGGATGAAAGACTATCTATAGTACTGATAGTACAGCTGTACTATCTTACTCTCTCAACAAATTCTTGGATTGAGCACTTGATAAATATGTTAGATAGTTCTGCACCTGCAATTGAGTTTACAGTTTGATGTTTTTTCTTGGGAGTTATGTCCCTTCTATAGTATAAAGATATTTCTAGCATAATGCTGCTTACTCTCACAACCAAAAGTAGGTTAGCTCACAAAAATCACAATAATTTGAAATATCAAGTGATTGTATTACATTTATTGTACTGGAAGTGTTCAATATTGATAGGGTTGATTTTTCGGTTAAAATTTTTAGTTATATTAACAAGAACTTCAGTGTCAGGAAATCTGATGAAAAACAATACATATGTTGTAATGAATTTTGTGCATTTCATCCTGATGTCCATTTCAATTTATATTTCCACCGATCAGGATTTCTCATTATGATAAATGTACCCCGGTACTTAATTTTTTTGAACTATCAAACTTTAATGCTTAGTCACTATTCGGCAAATTAGTGCATCAGGTGCATCAGCAGCATAAAGTAACTGCATTGAGCTCAATCATATGTTAGCACAAACTTTAATGTGAAAAGTGCTAAAGTAAGATATTCTCTTAAATATGTACATGTATAGCTGGTTTTACCCAATCAAACAGTGATCTACAATGTATGTGTTTACTTAGCAGTGAAAGGCAGTGTATGAGTGTCTGTGCACTGATTTGCAGTGATAACACCTGACTGAAATCAAGAAATCATGTTCTCGAACTTTGTACATATATACAGTCAGGAGTACAGATGTTGATTTCCAGTAAACGGTGCCTGAGCAAAACATTATATTAAAACTGACGTGTTTGGACCTACGTAATATGAGAAGCTATTTTGATCCTATGTAGCTCCTGTTTGGGCCTATATATTACCAATATTTCTTGGTTTTGAACATATGTATTATATCTGTACCAGTGTAACCTTGATATTGGGATGCTACAAAGATTAATTCAGCATTTTTAGCTCAGCTTGCTTAAAGGGCCAAGTGGGCTATAGAGATACCACAGTTTCCAGGATCCATCCTTTCTCCTTTGTTTGTCAACGTTTTGTATAAATCACAACTGGTAATACACTACTGGGCAGATTTAACTACATTTAGTATGAAGTATCCTTGGGGGAAGGGGGAACCCATTTTGTATAAACAATAGGTTGAGGGCCTCTCTGGGCCGGAGTGGCAGGGACCAAATGGGAAAATCCATCAATTTCTTAAAGAATCTATTTTGTTCTTCAGAAATTGCAGGATATTTTCCAAATTTGGTCTGAAGCATGCTTTTGTGAAGGAAAATCAGTTTTGTATATCCTTGGTGACAATAACTCAGTTTTGTACATTCAGTGCATCCAACCCATTTTGTAAGGAGGGGCCCATTATCAGGCTATAGATACAAGTGTTTTATATATGTTTCCTGTAGTTTAAATTCATCAGTTTCAGCAAACTAAACTAGGTGAGTGATACAGGCCCTATGGACCTCTTGTCAGCTTGCTGAAAATATGTTTTTATGCCAGAGTATGTGATCAAACCCACCGTTTTTTAATCGAACATTAATTTCGCTGAACATACTAGGAATGAAAAAAAAGATGTTGCGAAAATCGTATCAACAGAAAGTAGTGTGCGTCAAATTACAGCTCCACATTCGAAACTTTATCATAATACATTGCTGTTTCAAAAAACTTAATCATTCTCAGCTTTCACTATAACCTTATCAAGTATTACCTATTAACATTTTTTTTTATGAGAAATTATCACAAATCGGGATACGATGACTAAACACTTGACCTGTTGTATCACTACACAATATACAAAACACCCACTAGAGAAAAGACTGAACGTGTTTACAAACGGCTATATATAAAAAATTTCCCATTTTTCATGCAGTTAAAGGTCCTTTAGTGGTCCAAACAATATTACACACTACCTGCTGTCCTGTTACATGTAAATTAGTTAGGTATCATGAAAAATCCTTCCGTATTGTCATCCGTCAAAATAGATGTCTCCTTGCACATCGTGTTCAATTAAATCGAAAATTTATTAGGCATATGCTCTTATATTTGTGGGTTTTTTTGTTTTTTGTTTTTTCATAACAACAAGGTTTGCATGTATTGTCACTGTTTATTCGTGAGAAGTAAGTTCATTTGTGTACATAGTCGCGCCCGAGATCGGAT